ATATATATATATATATATATAGATCGAGCTTTTCGCGGGCTCTTTATTCGTTCAACATGCAGTGTGTACTCAATAAGAATTCGGAGTGTCGTGAATTAGTTAGCGTTTTGTTAATTATCGTGATCGTGCGAGTGAGTATCCGGAGCAGTGGAACAATCAACGATAAACAATGGCAGCGTATCACCATCGGTGAGTCGATTCGTACGCGTTGATTTAACATTCACATAAATATTCATTGTTTTTTGAAGTAGAATCTTAATTATACACGAATATTATATTTAATCAAACAACAATGCAAATATGCGACTGTTTCGTCAAATAAACTCCATGCGATCGTAGCACAACTAGCTGAAAAACAATAATAAAATATTAAATATCCATGGAATATTAAAGAAAAATAAATATTGACGAAGTTATTCTATCTCAAAGTTTGCCTATTTTTGCAGGGTGGAACAAGTGATCCTTTAATTTCGTTGAGAAGTGTAATTTACGTTATTTAAGCAAAACATAAAATTATTATAACATCAAAATAGCGTCAAAATGTTTTAAAAAATAATTATTAAAAATCATTCACGATTCATTTTGACCTCAAAATTACGTTGTAATGACCTGTTCTGCTTGGGCTAAACGCTCGTTTTAAATAAACATGTATAGCGCAAGTGAATTTAATAAATAGCGAATTTCATTGCCCCTAAGAATATAGAACAATATCATGTACAAGATTTAATATCCAATATATCGTACTTACATTTTTATTCAAAAATTGTAGTTTATAAATCTAAGCAGTCGCTCAGATTTACGAGCAAATGATAGAAGTGATCCTCCCTTCAGTATGATTACTTCTATCTTTCTTGACGTTTAATAATTCCGGAGCTACGATCTTCAGAACGGCATTCACGTTCTCGCAGCAATTACTACAAACAATTGTTTGTCCACGTACTGAAAGGTCCTGTCCCAGAAGCTTGATGTTCTGCAAGACAATCGATTTTATGTTAATTACAACACGGCGCGACAAGAGTGTGCAAACTGTAAAAATAAAATACGTAATCGTGAGAATAACCACATACGTAATTAGAGCTGAACTTGCATAGCACAAAATCTGGATCGATCTAACATCAACAAGCAAGATTCTTTAAAAATTTAGTAACCTACTCTTAAAACGTTCTTTAAACACACATGTTTCTTTAAAAGTTTTCGTTGAGAAATTCTATTTATAATATTCACAACCCGCTGTACAATTCCTCATAATTATAAGAATTTACAGAAAATGCTGATAATAGTTATCTATATGTTAATATGTGAGTGTACTGTTTGCTGAATGAACCTCGTGGCCTATGTGTTTGCATAAACAGCTATGTTTGTAAAAATGATTTTGCGAATAAGTAGATCATTCATCGGTAAAATCATGAAATCTTATCAAATTTTTCAAATCTTAAAATTTTTCAACCTTAGTTTTTAATGTATTTAAATAATTAATATTAAATGTGTATGTATATATAAAATGTGCAAACTCCATAATTCTTTTAAATGATTTTATAAATTTCTATTCACTACTATAACTGATCTATGTATAATCTAGTATTTTGCAATATCATTTTCTATAAAAAAAATTTTATGTTTTAAATAATCTCAGATAAAAACTAACTTAATTTTTTAATTAAATTGTTCTTACATAAATAGCTATTGTATTATAGTTACATTTTAAAAACAAAGTTAATTTTAAATAATCTTATTTATACTTCTTAATAAACATAGCGGGATTCTAACGAAAATAAAAGTCGAACTGTAAATGTAAGCGGAAAATGACAGCAGCGTAAATGAAGTTTCTAGGAAGCATAAAATAGAACAGCGCGTAAAAGAAGCATTTATTAAGAAGTGAATAACCCTTTTACGTTCACTGTTTCAATTTATACCTTCTGGAAGTTTTACTTATACGTTTTACTCACCATTGCTCTTCTTTTTTATTTGACTTGTGCTCCAATTTTTATTTTCATCAGGATATATAAAATATTGCTAAATAAACGTAAGTAGATGATTCTTCATCGAAAATTAAGCGGGGATCTTATAAACATATAATCTCATATCTTCCTCTAAGGAATTACATTTCTTCAAAGAGAAAGGTAAAAATTACATCTTAAATTCTAAAAATATTATAATAAATATCCTGTCTACTTGTGAAAAACGCTCACTTAATTTTTTAATTTATCTAAAATTTGGAAAAGAGAATATAACAACTTAATTTTACCTTTTCTTTTGATGAAGTATAATATCTCTGAGAAGAATAGAAGTATATGTTTAAGTGAAAAACTCTCCTTAATTTTTGGCAAAAATTCATCTCGTAAAATTTTTCGCTCTTATTTAGACACATGCATTCTGTATCACTGCTAATGCATCTTTCTCTAATGTGATTCTAATCGAATCATTTATTTAATGATATTAATACGTACATTTCAATAATTTTAAAGTTAAATTAGAGTCCAAAATAATTAATTTTAATCATCTTATTTCACTCGAGAGATATATGATAGATATATATTGTTGAGCTATTATCATTATATTTCCTTTTGCTCGCGTTCTTTTCTTCGAATGTATTTAAAGAAGTATTTTATATTAATACGTATATTAATATCTTTCACGAAAACGCCATTAAAGTTTCATATATACCTTAGCAACCGTAACATCAAGCCTCTTCAGATTCTTACAATCAAGTATCACGTTGCACGAACTCTCACCAGAGATCTTCATTACATTAACACGTAGACGTTCTGCCGCTGGAAAAAAAATTGCTTCTTCGGGTATGATGA